CTCAGGTCATCTGGATCCGTTTTTTTTCATCAGTTCCCAGAGTCAGAACCAGACACGGAGAAGCTGCATTCAGCTTTTATGCTCCTTATATCTGGAACAAACTCCCAGAAAGCCTCAGATCAACTGAAACACTCAGTTTATTTAAATCCAGGTTGAAGACTCACTTATTCTCAGCTGCATTTGAATAAAACACCAAATCCACACTTTTAAGCTTAAATTTCAAAACTTAAATTTTAACTACTGATTTTATCTACTGTTCTGATTTTATCTACTGTTTTTTAATCAATTTTAAATCATGCTTTTTATTTGTTTTTGTTTTTAATGACTCTGTAAAGCACTTTGAATCACCTTGTTGTTGAATTGTGCTATATAAATAAACTTGCCTTGCCTTTCTCTATCTTGAAGTGATTACATCCTTGCATTACATACTTCAGATTCATCAGGTGCAAAACCAACAGACTAAAGAACAGCTTCTTCCCGAGGGCTGTCAGAACTCTTAATGCAAACCAAGAGTGTGTAAAGACTTCCCCAACACATCCACCCTGACACTGCTGTTGATCATCTATGTGCAATATCTCAGTCTTTCCATGTTCTGTGCAATATTTTTGGCTCATGTGCAATTATTTTGGTCCCAGTCTGTTTCAATGTTTCCTACACATACATCATGTATATAGTTCCACTCACACATGTATACATATACACTGTTTTTTATTTTATTCTATTTATTTAATTAATTATTTATTTTACGCCTTCGTTGTATATTGGTTTCTCTTCTTCTTACTTTAGCACCTTTGTGGTTCAGCTACTCAATTTCGCTGTGCAAGAAACTGCACAATGACAATAAAAAGCTCTAAGTCTACATTTATGCCTCAAGTGCATTGCCATGTAAATAATTAGCATTTACTGAAAATGTACTTACTAAGTAACACTGTTCAAAAGTTGAATAAAGAAACAAACAAATGTTTGCCTTTTTTTATTATTAAAACCACTTTGTAGAACCTCACATCAGTAACAATGTAGAATCCTTGTTGTTTATAGTTTACAAATGACAAAATGTTCACATAAAATTATGACAGCATTTAAATAATATCAGCCACTACTAGCATTCTCTTATTTACTGTCTCTTTTGAAAACTTATCACTACATATACAGCACAAGACTTTTAAGAGTATTTAACAAAAGCATTTTTCCTGGTTTTACTACAACACTGGGGCACATATTCGCCCTCACATGGAAGAAGTAATCTGATTGGCATGGTGGTATGTAGCATGTAGTTTGAAGCGGGGATTTCATAGTGCCCCCTGTGTAGGAACCCAGTCAGGATTTGTTTCATCCATTTCATAGGCTGGCTTGCCTGCAATAATGAAAAACAATTAGCAACTCTATAAATAGAACGTATATCCACAAAATCACTCATTAGGATGTTTGTTCTAATTTGCTATGACCTCAGAGTGCATTGAAAATAAAACTAATAGGCTATAAAGAGTAATATGAACTTATTTAGATCTTACCTGAATGAAAATGTCTGGAGCACCAACAGATATCTGGGGATGGTAGAGAACTGGATATCAGCTCGTCTCACAGCTGCTATTCAGGCTAGATGCCTTCTTTTGGTAACATCCGATACATAAGCTCCCCCATGTTGCTTCCAGGTGGAAAAGGATAAAAAGAGAGCCCATTTTCCAGCTTATTCCCTTCCCGATTGTGCAATCTAATATTACAACCGATAACACAGCAAGTGCGATCCATTGCTGATGCTTTCGCTCCTTTAGCCCTTTGTTTGGCCTGCTAAAATGTCACCTCGGCGGTCACGCCCCCTGCGGTGACATCACGCGAGTTTTAGAAAATCTCCGTTTTCGGTGATTCGAAACGCAGTTTACGTGTGGACAAAAGGTCCAAATGCATAGAAACAGCTGCGTTTTCAAAAATACCAGTGTAGGTGTGGACATAGCGCAAAAGAGTAAGTTTATTCTATTACTACCTGTAACTTATTGCAGTTTACTTGTGTTTGCTTAATTGTTTACTAAATGTCTTTTGGGGGGTGGGGGGTTAGGTGGTGGTGGGTGTGCTCCAGACAAAATGCAGCCAACATAGCGCTTGACCACTAATGGAAACATTACACTAAAATAAACACTTTTCACTTCCAGAAACAGGTGCTTGCTGTGTTGTGTCAATACTTATTAGTAGTATATCATGATTATTATATTTATTATGGATTGTTTCAGACTATAGTGCTACTAGTCTTGTAGGCAACAAATCAGTTGCCTTTAATTCTTTCATCGGAATGATCTGATCAATATTCTTACATTGTAAAAACAAAAGGTCTCTTTAGACCTCTTCTAGCAAACATGGTTAAAACCCAGATGTCATCTCCTAAGTCAAAACTAGTTTTGGTAAAACTGCAAAATCTGCACAACAGACAGATGCATGCTAACCTTAATCCACATAGTATAGTTATGTATTCAGACTGTCTCTTACAAAGTTAGAAATGTCAATTAGATTTTTGAGAGGAAGGAATTGGATGCATTTGTCTTTTAAAAAACAACAACAAAAAAACAACTGATCTGGTTAAAACATGGCTGTGAAAAGGCAGCCACACAATGTTTCCTCCATGTACAAAGACTGCTATTTTTTAGCCTATTTAAAATAATAATAATAATAATGCTTTAGGAGCCATTAATAAGGTGGCCCAGAGAGGTCAAATCCCCTGCAACTTAAGAAAACACATCAAATAGAAAAATACAGCAAAAGCAAACAAAACACAGTGGACGTTGAATAAAACACAACAGAAATAGATCTTAAAAATGAAATGAAAGTTGAATAAGAAAAACAAAAGCCCACAACAGAAGTTTTTTGAGGTGATAACAACGTGACTGAACAGTTGCGGGGGTGACAGAAACCAAAACGTGAAGGATTGCACGCTTAAAAGAAGCAGGAACTCATGTTGTGAGAGGGAAGGGTAATGTATGTTTTAATCATATGATGCATATAATACGCTAGATATATATTTTCCTATTAGCTTATTTTTCCTATTAGTTTCCTTTATCCCTACTGCGACCTGTCTTTTCAATTACAAATAACTGTGCAATTGAGGCTTTTTATTATTGTTTTGTTTACTCTTCTTGTTGCCTTGCTGCTAACCCAATTTCCCTTTGAGGGGCAATGAAGTATTTGAATTGAACTGAACTGAATTGAATTGAAGCTGTTCCTTCACTTTTTTGTTCTTCTCAAAAACTTGTTTGTTTGGGGTTTTTTTTTTTTTTTGTATAGGTTTTTTTTTTACCAGGGAAATGATGTCAGGGTTTCAACTCGGTTTGCTAGGCTGTTGCTCTCTGTATGATTCAAAACAAATGATCTACTGACAGGAGAGTGTCCTCACTGACTTTATTCATTGTTTGATATCACATCACTGCCACAATAAATTTTTCAGGTCATCTGACAATTAAAAAATTAGATAGCTACAATATTATTGTGTTATACTAGCGCCTTGATTTTTTTTACATTGGATTTAGCATTAAAACTAGAAGAGGACTTTCTATCAAAAGGGTCTTTGATGATTTCAGTCATAAGTGAAAATTATGTTTGAAAGAAACGATATTTTATCGGATTGCGGTGTGTGATATCCATAGTCATTTCTAGTTAGGAAGAAATTGGAAAGATAAAGGCATAAACTAAAAAAATGTCTAAAAACAGTCTTCTCATGGTAGACAACAGGTGAAAATAGCAACACTTTTGATTTATGTACAGATTCTACAGCACAGCATGTGTCAGGTGGATATTAAGCCACCTTGGAGCTGTTTTACAAAGGCTATTAAGCAATATCATTCAGATAGAGTTAACTTAGCCAGCTAACAGCCTTAACCAAATTTTCCTCGTGATGAATAAAGTATAATCAATCAATCAATCAATCAATCAATCAATCAATCAATCAATCAATCAATCAATCAATCAATCAATCAATCATCTTCTCAGTACAGCCAGGATCCATATCCATTTTTACATACAATGTTGCTTCTCTCTGCAGTGGCAAAGGCCTTGCTTTTTTCTTTATTACTATCACTGTAACAATCACTCCAGCTACCACCAGCAGCACCACTACTGCCACCACAACATACGGCATATGCGGTGGTGGAGAACTGCTGGGTAAATTCAAAGTGATCTCCTGTTTGAAAATACATTCCAGAGACTCTGTCCACTTTTTGTCCGTTTCATCTTCTTCGGTACCTTTGTCATCATATTCTGTATCATAATCCATATAATTCCCTGCGAAATCCAGGGTTTTAACAACAGCACATATGTACTTCCCTCCATCTGACACCTTCAGGTCGTTGATGGTCAGCAAAGTCCCATCCTCAGATAGAGTCACTCTGCCTCGTAGAT